AAAGCTTGTCATTTCTCTGCAACTCTTGTTTTTTGGTCAAATAAATGTGCAGTTTAACCACACAACGCTATTGGTTACAGCCTTCACAGCAAAGCACTTGCCAGTTGGCACATGCTCCACTCAAGGTGATCCTTTTTCAGACTGGACAGAAGTTTACAAACCGTGACTTAGTGATGTACAGAGTGCTGAATTTACAGCTGGGTTTCAATACTCTTCTCCTCTCTCTAATGAACTTGCTGAGCAGGCAACTCTGAAGGGAAAAAACACAGAATATAAAAGAATGTCAAAAGATGAACACAGACAACTTCTGGTTTCCCCATCTCGGATCATTCCAGCAGAGCCCAAATTACAGAGTTGACAAGGCAGAGGTCTGTGGAGGGTAGCAATTGCCTTTAAAGCTGAAGTTTTCGAGGAGGAGGGGAGGTAAAATAATGAGAGAGCTGATCCTGTAGTGCGGAGTAACTGCTGAGGTTGTGTTTTCAAGGCACACATTCTCTTCTCCACACAGAGCAGAAACTACCCAGGTTTCAGGTTGAACCAGAGCAGACTTAGAGACCTTTGCTTTGAGCAAAAATAGAAACCATTTTGAGGTTGTTTATGTCGTTGTATGTCCCCTCCCAAGTCCGCGGTCCATAGTGTTTTTCACCAAATCTAGGCTTTGACTCTGCAGTGACCTCCATAACGTGGGACAGCACAATAGATGACTTACAGGGGGTAAACGTGGCTACTTGTTATCGTGTTGTTGTGTGCTGTTATTTTGTCTGTTGGGCCTCACCGTGCCCGTGACTATCAGATGTGTGTAGACGTTTCAGATTGTTTTGTCTGCACATTGTGTTTCCAGGCAAGGCAGAGGCCAACGGCAAGATGCACGTGACTCTGTGTGATCTCATCATGCCCTGGGAATCCATGAGTGCCACCCAGAAGAAGAGCCTCAGTCAGCGCTACCAGATGGGGTGTGACTGCAAGGCGAGTATTTTTCTCCTGTGGACACATACTAATCATTACTGTCAAACATGATGTAAACCAGGGTTGTGTAAAATTCAGAATTGGAAGAACTGGCTATGTTTCAATTCATGGGTTTAATCTGAATTTAATTAGTCACGACTCACAGGAAGTTGAATGGATTTGAATTAGAATGACAGGAGAAGGAATCTATCTATCTATTCATCCATCTATCACTCCATTCATTTGTCTATCTATCCATCCATCCATCCATCCATTGTATCTATCTATCCATCCATCACTCACTCCATCAATTCATTTGTCTATTTATCTATCATCCATCCTTCCATAATATCACCATTCGATCCATTTATCTATCTATCTATCTATCCATCTATCATCCATCAATCCATCATATCATCATTCCATCCATCCATTGTATCTATCTATCTATCATCCATCCATCCAACCTTTAAACCTTCAAACCTCAAAGCTTTTTAAACTTTTATACCTTGAGTTACACAAGAATAAGTTAGATGAAATAGGTGTAACTTGTCCTGCGCTGTTCATGCTATGGGCTGAAGTGATACCCCAAATTTTGCAGCTTGTTGAAGCAGATCAAGCTTTTGATTTTCACCTGCTGGACAAAAAAAAGTGAAAGAAATATACACTTATAGTAACATTTTTGTTTATATTTGTGGGCATACAAGTTTTTTAACACACCTGATGCATTGCTGTTACCTTTAGTACATCATCTGGGTACTCATAGTGTTAACACACTACTTGCACTATTTATACTGCAAAATTGTGTAGAATATCACAGAATATCATATTTAGCACTTGCATATTTAAGCAACTCAAAGCCAACATAACATACTTAAAAATACTTTCAGTATCACACCCTGTTAACAAACATTGTTTTTGCTACACCCAGATCACACGCTGTGCGACCTTCCCATGCGAGATCAACGCCCCAGAAGAGTGTCTGTGGACAGATTGGGTGACAGAGAAGATAATTCAGGGCCGCCAGTCCGACCACTATGCCTGCATCAAGAGAGGAGACGGCTCCTGCGCCTGGTACCGTGGAGTCGCGCCACCCAAGAAAGAGTTTCTGGACGTAGAAGACCCTTAAAGTATCTCTCTCTCCCTCTCCACATCACCCAATCTGAGATTCTTACAAATATCATAGATAAGGTGTAAGTTAATATCGACATAAAGACAAAACTTTACCAAATTGAAATTTAAACATCTTAAGGCTAGATTAGTGTACAGTCTTCATTAGATATCGCAACATGAGATAGAATGGAGCGAAAGTAATGACCCCCACCTAAGGCATCGTGTGAGGGACAATCTTTAAAACGAGAGCACTTTCTGCCCCCCAAAACAGCGCTTAGGTTTCTCTCTGCAAAAAGGACTGAACAATCTCCACAATCTCCCAAAACTGCAGTCTCTCAGCTCATTTCGCATTTCTGGTATTCTGGTCCAAATCCACCCAGGGTGGTAGTGAGAGTATTACTTTTGAAGGCAGTGTAATTTCCCAAAGCCATGCCAATTGGTCCACTCAGATAAATGGTGAGGCTGGACTTCCCAGATAGTTCAAAGATGTGCAGGGACCTGGAAAGAACTTAAGACAGCTGGGGTTTGGGAAAAAACAAAAATTAAAGACCAAAGTCGATGTCGTTAGACATGAATTTGTGATGGAAACAAAATTTAGCTGCTGACCAAATTATAGAATGTTGAACTGTTGTATATGAAGCTGTTCTTCATTTCACCTCCACTGCTTTTCATCATCATTTCATGGTGCATCCTTCGTTTATATAGGAAAAATGAAGTAATAACAATGTCAACATCTATTATTCTGACGACAGTTCATAATTAATTAGCAATATACAATAAGTTCCTCTAATTCGATTTTTTTATGCACATTTATGAATCAATCATCCCTAATTTGTTTTGTTAGTATGTTTGTTTACCTTTTTGAACCTTTAACTTGTCTCAAACACCTACGATAAGTCAGTTGTATGCATTTATTCCTCCGTTAATAGTTCAGTGATGATACTATTTAAACTTGTTGCACTTTTTAAAGACAAAACCAAGAGGACTGTCTCCTCTTTTTTGTAACTCTCATTTTCAATGCTTTCGTTCTTGTTTTGCAAATGCTTTAGCTTTAAGCATTACAGCATCAGTTATCTAAGATCCTAGTGAGCTCTTTTACCTTCCGTATTGGTCTTCTTTTATGTGTCATTCGATTATATACCCGAAGAGGTATGTAAGACTTTAGTTGCCATGGCAATGGGAAGACCCTTCGTTTTGCCCTAGAGTAAAACAAGGCTGATTGGATTGGCATGCAAAGACACAGGCCTATAGCATGCGCTGAGAAAGAGGAAGCAAAGAGCGAGGTTCCTTCCTTCTGTGATGTTAATAAACTCAGGAGTTTATTGGCAGCTTGAGAAGAAGGCAGAGTTGGGTTGTTGCAACTGTCCCCTGATTGGGCGTTGCCAAGTCACGTGATTGACTGAGGGTGAGGCGTTTGAATACTAGTTGCTAGGCGCTTCGTCAGGGTGAACCATGTGTCCCGATGTGGTCATAGTGTTAGAGAGAAAAAGAGAGAGAGGGAGTAGACAGACCGCTGATGAACTGACGAAAGCAACAATAAAAGTGTTGATCGATTTGGACGATATAATGCATCACAATCATTGCATAAAATCAACACAGAGATCATTTGTATTGACAAAGGGAGCATTCTTATGGGTAATCGTTCTATTCATGCCTTTCTATTTTGGCTATCAGTGTTCCAGCATAAATGTATGAAGCTTTTTTTTTCCTTTTGCTTAAGTGTAATTTAAATTAAGATTTTTGTTTCAATATCCTCGCTTCTTTCTTCATACCAGAAGCATTGTCATAAACAAGCTTGAACTCTTATGAATAGGCTATATAAATCTACAAGGTTAATGTTTAATATGCATCGAGCTATAACTACTTAAACTGCTTTGTATTAATTGTTATTGAACTTTAATGGCGTAAGTTAAATGATTTTGTTTCCACGTTTCTACTTTTTTAAAAATGTGTTATTACCTTTGATTTATATGATCATTGTGTCATTTTTACCAGTCTTTGTCTTTCTCTTTTATGATTTGCTGAAAAGAGCAGGAATGTGAGGCCTAGTGTCTGAACCACATGATAAGAGTTGTGGTAGAAGAACCCGACTATGCATGTCTTTGATGCTTTTTGTAATTCCCATGTGGATGTTCACTTGACGGATAAATATACAGTATTACCAAATAAAACATTAAACTACATCAGCTCGTCCCATTAGTTTTTTTTTTTTTAAGTCTATGAGTATTTATACATGTGTGTTTATGAAATACTTCATCATAAAGTAATATAATTGAAAAATTCATAATTGATTTTATATATATATATATGTGCAGGAAAAATACGTACATATACATACACAACAACAAAGGTACAACAGTTGTTTTGTTAATTGATGTTGTGGAAACTTGGCCTTAGTTATAGTATGTTTTTGCCCATCAGGGTGAACATTTGACTGCATATGTACCTTCACAAAACTTTAATGATCAGATACTGCCCTCATGTGGCAGGAATGAATAGTGAGCGCAAAGTCCTAGATAAAATAAACACAAGGTCCACTTTGGTTCAACTCCCATGAGTTATCACAGAGCGGGGGTTTATTTCGACAGCTGTCTGTTTATTTTATCATCTTATAATGATGAAAACAAGTACATAACTCAGATAGTTCACAGTGAGGGCAGGATTTTTTTTCTTCCAAATTAAAGGCACACTGTGAAATGCTCTTTAAAACTGATGTTTAATATACTCTTCTTTATCCCACTTTATGCTCATAACTGGTATTTCAAACATAAACGTTTATGATCTGACTGTATATTCCTGAATGTCTGACAGTTTAAGAAAAACCTGATAAAATAACTTCACTGTTGGCTTTAGAGGGTGTTTAAAGCATTAAACTTTATATATATAAAAAAAACATCCTGAGAGATGTTTGTGGTAAATGATAGCATTTGAGGGAAACAGTTATTCAGGTCATATACAACAGGAACAGATGAAAGGATAACTGAATCAGGTTTATCCAATGTCCATAAACTCTCTGTAACTAATCTATACAAATCTAACCTATTCTTTGCAGCAGTCAGGGCCAAATGTTCAAAAACTGTCCATAAATTATGCTTTAGTGCATTACTTTGTGTCATGAAACAAAACCTCAATTCAAAAAGCTTCTTTTTAGCAACTTCTTTAGCAAAAAAAAAAAAAAAGAGCTTCTGATTGGGTGATGGCTCATGCATCCAGTCTGGATAGGACAGTGTGATTGGCTGGCACTCACAGGCCCTTGTTGAAGTAGACGTAACTGACACGGTCCCCGTATTGAGAAATGATGGACTCTCTGAGCTCAGGTTCCAGCTTGGTAACAGCCATAGAACTGCAAATCAATGTGCAAATGACTGATTAGTCTGATATGGCTCAGAGACAACAGTTACTGTGATAACAGCTGAAAGGAGCTTTTTTGAGAAAGATAATGGATTGAGGAGCAGCAAAAAAAAGTTGTGTGAATAAGCTTCATGCCATAATGAATCTATGAAGCTCCAAAATTGTCTGCTCTAGTCACTTCTGGTCATTCAAGCTGCCTTGGAAAGTGGTAAATATATATATTTAAAAAATTACAAAGGTTTGGGGTCAGTAAGACATTAAGGTCTGGTTTCACAGACAGGGATAGGTTAAGCCAGGAGTAGGCTTTAGTTAAATTAGGACATTTAAGTAGCTTTTTTTTAAAATGTGCCTTAGAAAAAACAATACTGGTGTGCATCTTGTGACAAAACAATGGCACTGACATTTTAAGACATATCGGTGCAAGTTCCTTAAATATAAGACAGCTCAAATGCATTTTTGTATGCATTTTAGTCTGGGACTAGGCTTAAGCCTCGTCTGTGAAACCGGGCATAATACTTTCATTCAGCAAGGATGCATTCAAATGATTTAAAGTGACAGTAAATTATGTCTTTCAACAAAAGATTTATATTTTAAATAAATGCTGATATTTTGAACTTTATAAAACAATTGAGTGATAATAATAAGAAATGTTTCTTGAGCACCAAATCAGCATACATCTAAAAATATTTCTTTAAGATTGTAATAATATTTCACAATATCACTGTTTATACTGAATTTTGATTAAATAAATGCAGCCTTGGCGAGCACAAGAGACTGTCAATTTTTTTTTTTTAAATCTTACCGACCCCAAACTTTTGAACGGTAGTGTATATTTGAGGAGCTACTTTAAAGAGATACTATCCCTCTAAAAAAGATGTTTTACATGCAAACTTTACCATCTCTGAGGAAACAGTGAACACGCTGCAGGCACCATGAAGATCAGACTGTGAAGCAGAGTAAGGCATGTTGTCATTTCTTCTGCTGAAATAAGATCTCATATATTAGCCATATCAATCGTTGCTATTTTCATAATAAGAAATGTGATCACATACAATACGCCAACCATCATGACTTGCAGTGGCCCATGAAGAAATGTGATTTTCTGCAACAGATTTAAAGAAACAAACAAATGCAAAGATGTTATATATAAAACCATTCATCTATAGGTGTTTCTAGCCTTTACAGACCCAGGAATCCCAATATAAAATAATGAATGATAACAAATAAGACTGTCTTTGTAACACTTTATAATAATTGTATTTAATTTCTACACACTGCACATTAAATCATTAGCTAATGTTCATTCAAATAGTTAGAAGTGTCATTAAATTCTCTGGATCAACAGTAACATTTGTAACAATTATTGACCTGTATAAATTGATAACTGACAAGTTTTATGAGTCCAACTCAACAGTCGTTGAGGGGTTAGAAAGAGTGAATTTATAACAGAAACACCTGCAGATCATAAACTGGCTATTTTATAGCCTCTTTATTCCATTGCGTGCTCCTCGGACACTCCTTGGACAACATCTTAAGACTCACCTGCATGAATCTGTATTTTTCCAGCCTCTGCATAATAATGGGGAGTATGACTGGAAAGAACAAAGGAAACGGCTCAGGATTCAACATTGACCGCTGGGTGAGGGCTGGTTTATTTTAGCACTGAGATCTGATAACACTGGGCAAACTCTGCACTTACTCATGCCTGGAGCTGCCATGGTAACTCGAGAGATGACCACCTGTGTGATGCCCTTGACAGCTGCTTTCTATGACAAACACAGACAGTATACAGTATTTATTCAGTAACTTAAGAGCAGAGAAATGCTTATAGTGTAGAAAGACATCTGATCATTAAACTGATTATTATAATCATTAAACACATTGAAATCTGTTTAAACAGATGGTTCTGCTCATTAGTTTACATACTCCGGCATGTATGATGCAGTGGCTATAAATTATTATAATAAAAAAAGTTTAAGGACAAACTATGTAGGCATTTAAACAGGCATTTGTGTAATTTCTGTTATTCATTTTCAGTTCAATTTAATCTTCTGGAATATGCAGCTTCTTCAGGGCAGTACTAAATAAAGAATAAAATGTTTTATGATATATCATTTTGTAAAAATGATAAATATCTTACAGATTCTGCAAGGGGAATGCCAGGGTTACACCCTACTCTTTTTTTTAATGACCAAAGAGAGCCAGGACCTCAGTTTAACGTCTCATCCGAAGGATGGTGTTTTTGACAGTATAGTGTCCCCATCATATATATGTATACATAGATGTCACATCCCAGACATCTCGGCACGTCCGCCATCTTGGAACGGTCAGCGTGTCGTCACTCACAGTGACAATCAATAATGCAACAACATTGCGCAGCTTCTGGTTGGGATAACCTTTCACGGGTGAGAATGCGTAGTTTTTTTGGTATATGTGTATTAACTCAATATTACAGGTTTTTACTATGGTACTTTTTAATGTTTTTACTTTTACTATGGTAACTTTTTAATGCTGTGTTAGCTGACGCCTTCGTCGTCTTGTATTGTGTAAGTTTAGCAAAATCATCTGCTGAAGTCTATTGCAGATATAGATATTCATACATGTGTCTAACTACAGTTGGCCTCACTAACACCTCTTCCAGCAGAAACCTAATTTCCCAGGAGGTCTCTCATCCAGGTACTGACCAGACTCAAGTTCAACCCTGCTTAGCTTCAGTGGGTGACCAGGCGAGAGCTGCAGAGTGATAGCTGCTGGTTGCATCACCCTGATACAACCAATAAATGTCCCTCACCCTTGAGTGGCCCAGTTTATTCCCATCTTCATCGGTCACAGCAATGCCGTTCAAAATCTCCCTGTATAGGAAAGAATAAATCTGAATATACTAATATCTGGACATGTAAACCTACTGAGTAAGACCCACCAAAACAACTAGAAATTGAAAAAGAGGGTCTCACTGTTGTCTCATCATTGGAATGTTCACACAGTTAGCAGCGGCAACGGCAGCGAACGGCACCCAGCGGGCCACCAGTGGAGGAGCTTTCTGAGGAGATAAAGGTTAAAGATGCTGAATTAGAAATGGATGATGTATTACCACTGCAGATAAGACTGTAAAAACTGATAAGACAGATAAAACTGATGATGGAAAAAAAACCTTTTAATTATTTTTACTTTCATTTGGTATTTCATATGCAAAATTGTCACAATTTTGTGGAATATAGTTACAATTTACTGTAGCAGATTTTTCAGCAGCCATTACTCCAGTCTTCAGTGTCACATGATGCTTCCCTTAAGTGTTCATTTAAGGCTGAGTAATACCTTTGTGTAGAGGTTCAGCCCCACTGCAGTGGCCAGCGCTGTGCTTGTTGCCGTCACATAAGCTATTCCAATCTGCCTGGGCAAAGAAGATACACACAACACAACCAAAACCCATTTCTGTTACTGAAGCTTATCTGTTATTTGAAGCTCCTTTCCAGACATCTGTAAATAAATCGCTAGATATCATGGGACAGTCACATTTTAAGTGGTAGACACTTTGCATACCTACCATATGACCCAATTCTTCTTATAAGAGAGCAAAGTTCATGGAAAGAAAGAAGTCAAAGGAACTTAACTTACTTTTGTGTGATGGGGGAGGCAGCATTGCGATTGGTGTAGTTGACCAGAGCGTTGAAAGACTGGTTAACCCACTGCCAGAACACTACAGCAGGAACTGTCCTACATGACCATACAAAATAATTAGTTAATCTTAATAATATATGATACCTAAAATAAATATTAGATTGAATTATAATAAAAACAAAAACATTTTAAATGCTGACCTGTAAAACTGAAGCATGAACCCTGTGATGGCCATACCCCCAGGCACCTGAAATGACATTCTCCCTATTAGGTTCATCCTGTCACCCGTGTCTGGGTGAAATGCCGAGTCATACAGCTTCTTGGCATAGTGTAGCTGCTCCTCGGTTGTGCCTGGAGGAATAGAGCCAGCTCTGAGGGAAAGAGGAAGGGACAGAAAGTAAGAGACAGGAAGAGAGGCATAAAGATAACCTCATCAAATCAGTGTGCTTCTTCACCTGCAGCTCTCCACTAACACTTTGGCTTCATCTAGTCTGGAGTCAGGTAGCACAACAGTGCGCCAGTCAGTGATGTTGAAAAAGTGTTTGAGACGGCCCATGAACGTGGATTGATCCCAGCGTGGGGCGTCGATATCAAAGCCCTTCATAGCTTCCATGGTTCTCTTTCTCCTTCCAAAGAGCCAGGGTAAAAAAAAAAAAACAAGAAAGAAAGAAACAACACATAAAACAACAAATATTCAATACATCAATGGTTTCCAGTTCCAGTCCACAGAGACCAGATCAAACTAAGGTCCATAGAACAAAACAAATGTGAAGTTTTGAATGAAAATCATGTGACTAAAATCATGTGATCAGACTAAAGTGGTCTGAAAGTTTAGCACAAATCAAATGCAATTTTTTTTATTCGCAAAACGTGAATTTCTATTATTGGGTGACCTAAATGTGGGCTCATTTTCTATCCCCATTGTGTTATAATATTTTGTTTTTAACTGGTTTCTCATCTAACAAAGCAGGGTATCTCTAAATGCTATGAGAAAAGCCCAAAATCATTGCTCTCACGGTGAGGCCAGCTACGCAAACAGAAGTATGGATATCTGGCTAAACAGACCAGGGCTGCGTTTCCCAAAAGTATCGTAAACCTTAGTTGATCAAAGATCAATTACCATCAATGGTCTCTAAGATCAATTTAGGTTTACAATGCTTTTAGGGAAATGTCTTTCTTGACTAGTAAAATCAAAAGCTGGACTCCTGAGTGTCTGACCAACTTATCATCAGTTTAGTTCAAAATTAAACTTTTACATAAAAAGTAATTTTTCACAAACAATATGGTTGTTAAAAAAACTATTTGAGGATACTATAAATATCCTTACACTGCAACATCAAGTGTACTTTGCATTAAACACGTAACATGCAGATTGTAATGTATGTATTATCAAATGTAAAGCAATGCATGAGCAAAGCAGGTGATGGTGGACCAGATTTGACATTTGTAACATCACCATTTACAGCAGTGAATTGAAAGCACAAGTGCACAAAAGGCAATAGCTACACAAAACAAACAAGCAGGCAAGGACTGATTTTCAATAGGTCCAAACATGTCAAGACAATTTTCATTCTGGTCATTTGTTTCCTTACTGGTTTGACCTGATTTACTGGTATTTTAACAGAAAGATGTTTAAAACATACACTCTAATTAAAATAAAATATCACCAAACTAATACAACTATGCACAGTTTACTATACCAACTAGGCTATGTTAACAACAAGCTTAAAAGAAAACAGACCTCGCTATGTCATTTCTAAAGTGGTATAACAAAGTAGGCGTAAGCGTTTAAAACATAAATAATTCTCAAACATTAAGAAGTTTTAATTTTCATAAAACCAGCCCTGCATTAAAATTACATTAGAATCATGCAAAGTAGAAAGGCTGTAAGTTGTCTAGCAGCTTGCATCAGTTCATGTTCACTGTACACAAGCACCCGGATATGCGCTGCCAAAACAAATCAGACAAAACCATAAATATAAAATATGCCACATTAAAATACCTTTATTTAGCGCCGTGATACTCTTGTTTATATCTCGTGGCGCTGCTTCAGTAGTAAAAAACAATGAAGTGATGATGTGGGCTTGCAACAGTAGACGAGCACGTGGCGTTCTATCCTCCAATCCCCGAAGGGAAGAATCTCCCTCCCCTTACACTAGTGACAGGATAGGAGGAAGTCTGGCTCATTTCCGCAAATCGTTTACTTCGAACAGTAACAGTTCACTGTTTCATGCTCTAAAATGTTTCCAGTAAAGCATTTCTAACGTGTGTGCACAAATTACGTGTATAGTACTTTTTACTATTTAATTTTATTAATGCAATTTCGTGCATTCCAGTTCCATTTGCAGACGAAAAAAGCATTTAGAACCACGTGTTCACTCCAAATGCTTGTCACAAATCGGACTTGTCCGAAAGAGACGATTCTCTCGGTTCACAGAGTCGTTAGCTGAAATCTGAATAGCATATTGCTTGTATATTTCCCCATATATTTATATTTACGTTATGTAGAAATGAAATAAAATACTATAGAAATTGTAAAATTTGTAAATGGTTGCCTTTTCGAAGGAAATTATTTGAGGAATCGGATCAGATTCGTGAACAAATCGTTCAGAACAGGTTCAACTAATTGATTGATTCAAAAGACTCGTCGGGTATATTTCTATTTTCTATACATAATTAATACTGTACATCACATTAATCTGTATGTAACCATCTCATATGGATTTGGTCAATGAGTATTAGCTGTTAAAATATATGTTTTTATTTCTGTATCAAAATATAATTTATAACGATATTAATTAACATTAAAATGTATAGTTTGTTAGTTTAAATCATAGGTTTAAAACAGTTAGCAAAACTAAAATGTTTTTTTCGTGAACTACGTCAATTTGCGCCCTTTGGAAATGCACGTAGGTATTGCGTACTACGTCATCCTCTCTTCCCCCTAGTAACCCTCCGCGGCGTCTCAGGGAGGCAGAAGAATCACAAGATGGTGAGTTAAAGCGCTTACAATAAACGAATTACTACCTGTAGACGTTTTTGTTTGAGACTCAACATTATACTCCCCGTCACATTGTGAAATTCAGTCATGTTAGCCGTGTTGTCCGAGGAGAATTGTGGATTTTTTTGTAATCGAGTGGTATTAAAGATGAGCAGCGGTTCTCGGTCATGGATGAGATTAACGTTAGCTTGCAGGACTGTTTAAGTGTCACGACTGTTCGAGAATCGCTTAAGCAAATGTTATGTCTCTTTTTATGCCTATTTTTGGGGTAAACTACATCAATATCTATTTTCTACATCCCTTGAGTAATAATTGAAACCTGTTTGTTTGTTTGTTTGTTGATGCTCGTGCGTATGACGTCATGATGCAAGCATTGCATAAAGTCAGAGCATTGTATAATCTGCGCTATTTATTTGATTTTTAGGGTTTGTTGTCGATTTTACGGAAACTGAAAAGTACCCCCGACCAGGAGGTGCGGATATTGCTTCTAGGGTTGGACAACGGTGGCAAGACCACCTTACTGAAACAGTTGGCATCTGAAGACATCACTCATATTACGCCAACACAGGTGACACGGTTACTGTAACTACTGCATTCACATCTCAGAAGAAAGCCAATTAGAGTTAATGCATATGCAAAGCAAATTACTGGATCAGCTGTGTTTTATTATCGCAACTGTTTCTTTTTTTGTTCTAGGGTTTCAATATCAAGAGCGTCCAGTCTCAAGGATTCAAATTAAATGTGTGGGATATTGGTGGTCAACGAAAGATCAGGCCCTACTGGAGGAACTACTTTGAGAACACAGATGTACTGGTGAGATCATCCGTCCGATTAACAGTCATCCCACAATCCACTTTAATTCCAAACACTTGTTTAATTGGATCTTTTTGATTTCAGATTTATGTCATTGATAGTGCAGATCGCAAAAGATTTGAGGAAACGGGACAGGTGATTCTTTGTTGTTATGATTGATTTGCTCTTCCAAACTATTTCTGCTCTCAGTGTTTAAATAAGTGAATTGATCTGCATGCAGGAGTTGGCTGAATTACTTGATGAGGAAAAGCTGAGCGGTGTCCCAGTCCTGGTGTTTGCAAATAAGCAAGACCTGCTCACAGCAGCTCCTGCATCTGAAATAGCCGAGGGTTTGAATTTGCACACTATCCGAGACCGAGTGTGGCAGATCCAGTCGTGTTCTGCCCTCACCGGAGAAGGAGTCCAGGTCACTTTAGTACACATATTGACAGCAAAATTTGACATTTGTCCATTTTTACAATTTAGACTAAATTGCTTAAATGTTGTGTTTCAGGATGGCATGAACTGGGTCTGCAAGAGTGTGAACGCTAAGAGAAAATAGAGATACTGTAACTTTCACCCTGGACGCACATGTAAAAGTTCATGACTTTGAAAAAACTGTCAGTAGGTACAGAAAATGAACGCACCCCTTCAAAACTATTTAAACTCACTTTTGCCTCTTCTAATGGGTCTGCTATGGTCCTGTATTCATACAATGAGTTCAAGATAATAGTATCCTTTCTTTTAAACTCAAAATTAAGAAAGTACATCCATGTGATTTTACATTATAGTCAACCATGATTTGACTTGGTTTCTTTAGTACATTTCTTAATTCATTCTGCCTTCGTTTCTTGAGATGAATGACTTGTTTTTATAATAAATGTTATAGTTATTTAGTGGAAGTTGTTGATGAGACATTTGTAGAAGTGGCAGCCTTCATCATTCAATTCAACTGCTGTCTCTTGTTAGTTAATCTAAGGTCATTTCTCCTGAAAGTAACAGAGATACGAATGAATTTACGGTACGCAAATTCAGAAACATCAGTATTGTACAGAAGCATAGGGGACCATCGGCAGGATATGAAATACATTTTTGATAATTAAATGTAAATAATGTTCCACATAGCAAATTATTTTCTGCATATATATATACTGTTGAATTTTACAAATCCAGCATTTAAGGATTTCTTAGAGCTCTATACTGTAAGTGGCCTGTACAGCTGTAATCTATACACTGACGAGTACAAGAGGAAGTTTGTGATCATCACACCAATATTATTTCTGTATTGTCAACGAATGTCATGTTGTGTGTGAAATTGCTGAAGCATACTAAGTAAAACACTGAAAATATGTGCAAGTGTGAAGTTTTATTGGCTGAAAATTGTTTCAGAGTAAGTAATCATACAATAATGTGTGTGTTTTATTTGTTTTTTGTATTTGATTTGAAATGGAGTCACTGCACCAATGCTTATACATTAGGATATCTGTCAGACACACACCCTCACAACATATGGTGTTGACACAGGCACAACGACTTGCCAAGACACACTTCACATACACCTACACTCACATGATATTGCTTATTAACCAATACCATTCTGAAACCATATGGTGTATTGTTGCGTGCTATTGTATTAGTTAAAGGCACAACTGATTTTTCAGAATACATAAATGTGGTATAGGTGGCACTATTGACCATGTTTACCATCCTGGTATTATTTTGTTTGTTCAGTTCCTGATTTTCTGTTATACTGGCCTAAGGGTAAATTAACAGTACTGTGCAAAAGTCTTAGTAAGTGCTTAACAATGTCAGGATACACAAAAAAAATAAACACAGTAGAGAATGTCACAGTATCAAAACTCAACTCAAAATGAAAGCTAAGGTTGTGGTTAGGTATTAATACGGGGGAAATCAGAAAAATAACAGCTTCCATAGGCTAAAGGATCAAGTATTTAGTGTGACCTCCCCTTACACTTGCAGGACCCTGGCTCTCTTAAACCTAAATGGAATGGAACCCTAATTAACGTAATTGTTAACACCTGTATTTTTCCTACTATTTCATGTCAAAATGACTGCTGGGAAAAAGGTCTATTACACAAGGTTTGTGCAAGACATGCTTGAGTATTACATACACATGTTGTTGGAGTTTAATTCATTGGAAGCTTGCCAAATTTTAACCATGTCATTCATTTCAAAATACCAAAGATCACAGAATTTAATGGACAAAATCATAATTTTGCATCAGCAAGGCCACTCTGAAAGGCCAAACAAACTGGATACTCAAAAAGTTGTATTCAAGCTGTTATAAAGAAATGTGAGGAATTAGGAGATGTCAAGGACAAAAAAAAAAGGACTGATGAGAAGTTTCCCAAGAGTTTCATTGAGAGACCGAAAGAAGTCCAGCAAGGACCTGGCTCAGCATCTGGCAGCTTCATCGGGATGCCAAGTTGACCCTTCTACTGTGTAGCAAATTCGCTCTATGAAATATTAATAATCAATCATAACTTGTTATGGTGTGTTGGAAAGCTGAATACAGGAAAGCAATAAGTTGTACCATTGTTTGAAGTTCAGCAGATCAACAGCCTGAGCAAACCATCAGTTTAGTTCTAACACGCCCTTCTTAAAAAGGGGTAAGGATACTTAATGCCTCAAATAATGAGACTAAGTTTGATACTTGCATGTCTCGTCCATTTGCATTAAACTGTCCTGATGCAATTTGTTGAGGCTCCAGTTGATCTTTGCTGATGTGGTCTTGATGAGAGAGAACCAGTGGGTGTCAGAGGATCTTTGGTGAATGGAAAGACAAGGCCGCAGCCTGGTGCAAGCTTGGGAGTCCTTGAGGGACTTCTAGTTCAGCATCATCTTCACATTAGGACTTCTCAGGAAGGACCGAGAGAGTAAGAGAGCCAGAGGCTAAGAGCGCAAGACAGCTAAGAGAGCAAGAGGACAAGAGAGCTAATCTTGTGATCAGTGATTTTTAAAGCGTGAAGATGTCACACCCTCTGGAGGTGCGTGAGCCAATACGAAGCGGTCCCTTTTTACAACCCTTTGTGTTCTAGCAGGGCATTTGAATGTGTAATTTCATTGGGTGTTTATGAAAAGAATCTACAAGATTCTTATAATACTAATGCGTCAAAGTTAGAAGAATGTAATGTAAATTAACAAAGGGGGGACGAATATTGGAGTTTATAGAGACTAAACATGCTACATGATTTTGGTTAACCATAGTATGCAAGTCATGTTTCCGACCAAAATAGTTTAGAAGAGAGAATGAAGACATAGGCCAAACCACATAAAAGGAAAATCATGAGATGGAAAATTAGATGCATGTTAATACATTTATCACATGGTTATATATATAGAATATATAGGATTAAAAGGGTTAATTTCTCCTTCTCAGCAAGAATTGTCACAATTCCCTGCACATTCTTTTGGGTCGTAAAACTTATCAGTCTTACTGTGTCCTGTTACAGGACACTGAGTTCTGCCAGTGTGTTAGCTTGATTTGGGGGAAGTTTCACAGACCTTTGTTGGGATAGTGAGTTTGCTGGATTATTCATTAAATATAATGAATAATTTGTGTGTGTCTGATTGGTCCAGGCGCTACAACTGTCCGAAGAAGCTTGGTCAGGAATGGTCTTTGTGGAAGGCTAGCAGCCAAGAAACCACTTTTTTAAAAGAGTGAAAAGGCTAAGATATGCTAAAGCTCACAAAGATTGGAATCAGTGGAAAAGAGTATAATGGAGTGACGAATCCAAGTTTGACAATCTTGGTTCCAATCATCGACAATATGTGAGAAGAATATTTGGAAGAATGAGTGCTTGCAGTTGTCAGTGAAACATGGAGGGTTTCTTCCTGGTGTGGGGCTGCATTTCTGCAATAGTTTTGGTGATATTGTCTGAATTGATGGGATCACGAATGCTGAAAAAAGTACAGACAGGTTTTAATTCATCATGCCATTCATTTTGGAAAGTGCATGATTGGGAATGGTTTTATTTTTCAGCATGTTAACAATCCCAAGCACACTGTTAATGCAGTGAAATCATATTTGGAGAGAAAAACAGCTGATAAAACACTGACAGTCATGGACTGGCTTCCATAGAGTCTAGACCTGAATATTATAGAGGCAATATGGGATCACCTGTCCTGGACAGAGAAATAAATAAAAGACAGCCTAAATCTAAAGAAGAACTCTGGGAAGTAGCCTACTGAATGAAGCCTGGTGTAATATACCAGAAGATAACTTCATAACTTCAGGAAAGTCTCCCTAAAACATAGACAGTAAAAGAAATGGACACAGCGACCCCATAGACTTCAACGGAGAAAAGTGAAGTCAAATAGAAGCACTCACTTCCTGATTGCCAAGCGCACTGCGCATGCTCAAACTGAGCTTGAAAACGTAGTTGTGACGTGAGCAACCTGACTGACAGTTGTACGTCTTCTAGTAGCGGTGCCAAGAGGAATCTGAATCATTCCCTTCTGAATCTTGCAGAGCCGGAGATCGTGAGTATTAGCTGTTCATGAGCTCGCAGCAGGAGCAACTTTACAACTCTCTATGGGCTTCTCCCTTGACTTTATGCCTCCACGTCCCCCGATTGCGCGTGAGCTTCTACATCTGTCTTTACGGTCATTTCTCTTCAATGCGACAGAGAGTCGCGTGTTATGACGCAATCGTTAGCCTATTTTTACAAAAACTGCTTCTACGGGGCCACAACGTAAGAGACAAGGTAATGGAGCATTTTATACATTGTCGTGTTTCTTTAGAAATAAATAATGCACAAATGGAGTCTTTAAACGTCTCAGATGTAAAGTTATTCGCTGTCAAAGTGACGCAAAAATGAATGGGAGTCAATGGAATGCTAACAGCAGGTGAAGGCTTGTTAGCCAATGGCGGCGCCCGGGGAGACTTCAGTTTCCGGCTGGTGGATTACCCCCTTGCCCTAAAATAGTTCAAGATGTGCTTAGTGTCAAGGGAGATCACACTAAATACTGACTTTTGCCTGAAGAAGCCGTTTTGTTCTATTTTTTTTTTTTGTGCGTGGGTACATATTTCCTGTATTTTCTACTTGCATCTTAAGAGACCGAAAAATAAATATGTATGGTCGTTAAAACCTTGCTAAAACAACACACTCTCTATTTTTCTTATTATTTAATGTGATGTTAATTGCTGTTTGCTGCCACTGACAACAAATGTATGTTTTAATTAAAAACTTTTAACAAACTGTGATTACAAAGCTGCCAGTCGTCAGTACATTTTCTTTGCATTTACATTTTTAATGGCCCAAAAGCAAGCCTTAATCTTAATTGAATCAATTCCAGTTAATTAAATCAAAATGAGTTGGTCTGAGTGTGTTTGATCTATAATGAAGAAAACAGGCTCTGTCCCTTAAAAAGAAGAATCTCATTTTGTCTTTAATGTTTGTGTAAAAAGCAGACAATGACAATCAGAAACATTTAGGCTACCACTACCCCCAATCCCCCCACCACACCCTACCCCTTCCTGAGTGTATTTTTTTTAGGCTGAGAGAGCCGTGAGTGGCGGCCATGCTAGCTGAATAGCTAACAGCCTGTGTGCTTGAATGAGAACACACCCGACCACTCCCTCCGGTTCCTGCACTCGGCATCTTTGAGTGACATTCACAAGCTGACACGTGCGTCCACAGTGAAACGAGCAGGCTCTATTAAGCCTGAATAAATCCTCTGCCAGCCAGCTCTTTGAGACAGGCAATTAGACAGGCCTCCATACCTCCTTCTGCATCCTAGTGTGAAGGACCCAGCCCTCATCCAGCATTCTTATCCACAGGCTTTTCCTTCCATCTGGCCCTTAGAAAAGCCAGAGTAGAAAGACAGTGGGTTTTTGAATTCTGCTTATTGAACTGAGAGGCCCCTTTCTCTCTGATTTAAATTGGTAGTCTTGAAGTGTGGGCGTTTTTTGATGGAGGCAGCCAGATATCTTCGTGATGGGTAACAAAGTTCTGGGAGAATGGATTTTCATGGAGAGTAAAGCGAAATGTCAGGGAAAGGGGCATAATCAGCATTATGCTGGTCTGTTTGGTTCCCTTTAATTAAATCTGGCTTCAGATAGAGACAGAAATGAAATGCGCAGCCATTCCAAGCTTCGTCTTTCTAAAGAGACCACAGTTGTGCCTGTATTCCAAAGAGTTCATGAAATGCAAGCATTTTAAGATCAGGTATGTCATTTATGTTTAGTCAGAAAGGTTATAATAGTTTTGCAATTTGATGTATATAACCTCGCTTGTAAACTATTCTAACTCAATTATTGTAACTCAATCTTTTTAAATAAAGATTATATTAAGCGAATTGTCTGCACAAAATATGACAGCATTGTAA